GTCTTTTAAACAACCAGCTCTCATGGGAACTAATAGAGTGAGAACTCACTCATTAATCTCCTCACCTAGGGAAAGCATTAATCCATTCATGAGGGATCCATCCCCATGACTCAAACAGCTTGCAACACTGTCACATTGGGGATCAAATTTCCACATGAGTTTTGGGGGGCCAACACATCCAAACTCTATCAGAGGCCTTTTAGATATTTGAAAATAGCACCTATATTACTTGCGCTTTTCTCTGAGAGAAACGTCCCCTGTTCCCTGCCCTGCTGCGCATCGTTCACTGATGACTGTGTAACCTCAGTTCCTGTGTATGAAGGAGCCCCTAGGTCCCCTCACAACCCTGATTTCCACTTAGAATGAGGCTGCCAGAACTAGAGGCTGACCATGGGTGTGGAGTAGGAAGCAGGATGAATCACCTCCAACCCTTCAGAACCATATGTCCACTGGTGCCACCAAGGTTTACTTTTTTTTTTTTTCCTGGAAGACACATCAGATGTTGATTTGTACTGAGGGAAGAAAAGGAGGCTAACTCTCGTGTTTACTGAGCTGCTGAGTGCCGTGCCCTGTGCTAGGCCCGTGTGCATTCTCTAAAGTACACAGTAACCTGGCCCCAAATATTTATGTAGCTAATAAGTTTCAGAGCTGGAATTGAGCATTCTGTCAACTAAAATTTCGAAGTCTGCTTTTTTACAAATGCTTCTGCGAAATCACATATTCTGTACCTCTACTTGTGTATTTCATCTCTAGGATTCAAAAAGCTCCAAGACCTCACTTTTACCTCTGAAATTTCTGTTTTTGAATTCTTATTTTTTCTTCTCAGCTTAACCATTCTGCCCAGCTTGTTGCCAGCTATGGATTTATTTAGTTGTTTGGTTTTTTTTCCCCTGTGTCTTCATGATGAAAAGAATAGCAGTGAGCCTTTAGGCAGGCTGCTAGAACCATTTTCTGGATTAAAATACCGATCCATTAATCAGTACTCTTGGTCAGATTATTGAACTGTGTACTGATCTACATTTGCTGACCTTCCATTACTTCATTTCATTGATGAGGATATCATGAAAAATCCTGTCACCCACTTGACCTAAGTCCATGTAAACTACATCTAATGAACTCACTGGTTGATCTTTATGAAAAATGGCAGCCTAATTGATGAGGATATCATGAAAAATCCTGTCACCCACTTGACCGAAGTCCATGTAAACTACATCTAATGAACTCACTGGTTGATCTTTATGAAAAATGGCAGCCTATATGATCCACCACTTTTTTCCCTTAGTGCTCATATATTTTTCCCTTTAATAATTGATTTTAGAATCTTTGCCCTCATCCTATTCCAAACTTATTCATGTGGAGTTTGTAAAAATCCACCTTCCACTTTATGAAGATTATTTATATTTGCCCCTTTCCAGTCTTCTCAGACGTGCAGCATTACTTGGATATCACTGACAGTGTTCAGCTGTCCAGAGTCAGTACCTAAGATACAATTCAGCCGAAAGGTGTCCTGAATTGAGCTAAGTGTAACCTTTTATCAAGTCTACTGATCTGGAGCTTCACATCTTTTTGTTCTCTTCAGTCTGTAGATGGTTCTCCCTGGCAAAGAAAATCATAGTATAACAGTTGGTAACAGTTGGTAAATACCACTTTTGTGGTCATCCACCACCAGGTGCATATCCATTCTTTTGTTGTTGTTGTTTGGGCAGCTGGCCGGTATGGGGATCGGAACCCTTGACCTTGGTGTTACTACACGGTGCCCTAACCAGCTGAGCTAAGCAGCCAGCCCTAGCATGTCTCTCCTTCCTCCCTCCCTCCCTCCTTTTCTTTTTGCATGTACACATTTTCTTGTTCTCAGCATAGTTGTATTTGCTGACTTTACTTCCAAGCTTTGTTCCCTAACTTGAAATTGTCTTTTGGGTTTTTCAGTTTATATGCTCCCGAACCACTCTCTATACATTTGTATAAATCCCATTCATTGTCTGCCCCACGCTAGGACTTCTTCCTTATTCCTTATTTCTGTTAATAAGGAATCACCATTCTGAGACAATCAGGTTCAATCTTTTGAAGTCATTCCTGCTGTTTCCCTCTCTGTGTACATCAGGATTACGTTCAGTGGCTTATCCCAGAAACCTGCCTAATGTAGCTTAAACAATAGGGGTTGTTTTCTCAGGTAACAACAAGTCAGGTGGTGGGTAATCCAGAGCTCATCCAGCTTCCTCAGGAACCAGGCTGCTCTGTCTTCTGGTTCCACCACCCTCAGCAGGTGGCTTCCATGCCTGTAGCCACAAGATGACTATAGCTCTTTGAGAGTCACATCTGCATTCTAGGAAAGGGAAGAGAGAGGGACACTGGCATGTGCCAGCCTTAGTGTTCTCCTCCTTAAGGCTATCCCCACTTAAGGAGAAGGACACTAAGGCTTGAGAAGTTAAGTCACTTGCCCAAAGAGACACAGCCAGATCTCAGTTTTCTGGATCCTTGACATCAAAGATGAGTCAACTCAGATTGTAAATATTCAAATTCCCCCAGCCCAATTTCACAGAGACCTTTCCTCCCTCTGAACACTTATTATATTTTTGGCATGTACTACCTGTTTTTGTTAACGCTTTTAACTGTGTATATACGTTGTCTCCTTAAGTATATGGAAGGCTCCTTGAGAATGGCAACTCAGCCTCTAATATAATAGCTTGTGCATAAAAGGTGTTCAGCACATGATTAAAGATTGTAACGACTAATTTTTCACCACAGAAGCCAAATGGCACACTGGGTCATAAAAGTGCTAGGAGGCGTTGGGGTCAGACAGTCTTCAAGTCTGGAGATAGTTGGGAAGAGTCTGAGGACTGTGATTTCGGAGCCTCCCATTCCAAGAAGCCAAGCATGGGTGTTTTCAAAGAAAAGAGGAAAAAAGATTCTCCATTTTGGTAAGATTTCAAATTTTTCAGGAAAAACCATTTTTCTCATGCATCATCTTTATATTAATCATTAAATATAGATGAAAGTAGACCTTAAAAGACAAAAAGGTAGCTTAACGTTTTCTTCTACAAAACCCAAATCTTATGCATACCTGTGAAAAGGTAAGAATCCTGACTTCTCACAGTAATGATTCTCATTGTTGATAGATGAGTGTTGTGTGTGTGTGTGTGTGCATGTGCGTGTGTGTTTGTGTGTGTATGGAAGGTTCTTGTTCAATTTTTACGGTGCTTTTGTGAATTATCATCATTAATATTCCCATCGTGTGCGTGTGTGTTTGTGTGTGTGTGCATGGAAGGTTCTTGTTCAATTTTTACGGTGCTTTTGTGAATTATCATCATTAATATTCCCATTTGAAATTCACATGCCTATTTGCAGAAAGCAGAGCACCGTATACAAAGTTTCCTTTGATGGTGTTAATATTAAATTATTAGCTTGCTTACTGTTTTAAACGTTTTTTGATTATTTCCTGAAACTTCTGGAAGTTTAATATCTCTGGAAGTTCGTTTTCTTTATCTTTTTTTATTTTTTATTATGAGCATATTCATTATTACAAATTATAATTTTTCTTTAAGCCCTTTACTCAATCTGTCACTCCCCAGACTCCTTCCATCCCTTCCCCCCATCTCTAGGATCCTTAGGTTTGTTCTCTCCTTCTGAAATTTCAAGGTATGATTGTGGTTCCTTCCTCCTCTCTGCTCCTCTCCTCTTCTTTCCTTTCCTTCTTAGCACCCAGTTATCCTTTTCTTTTTATAAATTAGGTCATCATTAGTGCATTATTCAGCTTTGAAGTTAGGATGGGTTAAATTTTGGTGACCATTTTGTAAAGATATTTTCAGTTTCTTTTCTTCTTTGGAACAGAATCAGAATAGGGAGAAAAGTTGTATAATGAATCAGGGAATTTTATCTAATAGCTATTTGGCATTGTATGGTATAGTAGTTTTCACTTTGGGGTACACATACCCCTGAAAATACATGAAGAATCTCTAAGGGGTATATATGCTTGAATAATTGTTTGTCGATCATTTTCCAGATCTTCATGTTCCACAGGTTCTCTTCCCTAAAACACATGAACTTGAGAAAAAGCCCACTTAATCCCTCTCCCAATTAGGAAGGAGCGTCACATCTCTCAACCATTTCAAATCTTACATGGCACTAGGTGTAACAATTTTAGAGAAATTAGAGGACTGGCACCTTCGACTCAAAAGGCTTTCGGTTGTTTCTTGTTTTATATGTATTTCTCTTAAGGGGAAAACCCTGGATTAGAAATAGAGTATTTTGGCCAGAGTTGGAAGCATGGAGATTTGGAACCACCGGAGCACTAAGGATTAATGATATGTATTACTTTAATTGTACCAGAATGTTCTGTAGGACCATCTGATTTTTATAACCCACAGATAAAAATTTTATATAATTTTTTGGAGACTCAGAGTGTTTTATGGAATAAGGTAGTTAAAATTTATTTTGTTAAGTCATACTATGAAATATTCCAAGTTTGGTCAATGTTCATAATATTTCATCTTATAAAATGTTTCTAATATTTCATATTATAAAATGTTTACAGTTTTCTGCCATTAACAGGAAACAAGAAATACATTAATTTGTGATGAAAAATTATAGATGTCAAACTAAAGGTGTTCAGGGAATTAATAGTATTTTTAACAAATACTATTAATTTGGATGTGTTGGCCCCCCAACACATAGTTACTGATCGACTACTGACCGGCTGGGAACAAAAGAGTTTGAAGACCATTGATATAATATGTAGATGACTTGAAAACTTCTTTTTAAAACCCATATCACTCCAATTTCAACTGAATTCTATTCATATCTTTTTGACGGTGGTAGAGGTTTGAATCAAAACCTATAGTTGAGATCAAGGTTGTAGTCTATATGCCTGATTCTGGCAAGAAAACAGCTGGTAAATTTCCTCAACATTAGTTATCCCTTTTCTCTTGAAATTATTGAAAAAGAAAAACTATATGACAATAAATTTTTCATGTGGGTATTTCTTCCACATTTTTATTTTTTGGTATCTTTTAATGGTTCTGTACAATTCTAGGCGTAAAGTTATTATTATTATTAATATATTACCATCTATTAAGCACCTACCTAAACTTTATTTATAATCTTCATACTCGGGTAAAGTTCCTGCAGAATTGGACACTGAGCCTCAGACAGGTTGGGTAACTTGCCCAAGATCAGATGAGGCTTAATTCAAATCCAGGCTTTTCTCTCCTCTTCCACACTACCTCTTTTTTTTTTTTTTTTTTTCTTTTTTTTTTTTTTTTTTTTTTTTTTTTTTCCTTTTTTTTTGTCTTTTTTTCGTGACCGGCAACGGATCCAGTGGGCAGGCGGAGATGGCTATGACTGTCTTCTCTTTCAACGCACAAACTTCCCACATTACGAATCCATACCTGCAGCAGTGGCAGGAAAGATAGAAACGTGTTATATCTACTGGAGGGAAAGTTGTCACTTTTGCCAGTGGGCAGGCGGAGATGGCTATGACTGTCTTCTCTTTCAACGCACAAACTTCCCACATTACGAATCCATACCTGCAGCAGTGGCAGGAAAGATAGAAACGTGTTATATCTACTGGAGGGAAAGTTGTCACTTTTGCCAGTGGGCAGGCGGAGATGGCTATGACTGTCTTCTCTTTCAACGCACAAACTTCCCACATTACGAATCCATACCTGCAGCAGTGGCAGGAAAGATAGAAACGTGTTATATCTACTGGAGGGAAAGTTGTCACTTTTGCCAGTGGGCAGGCGGAGATGGCTATGACTGTCTTCTCTTTCAACGCACAAACTTCCCACATTACGAATCCATACCTGCAGCAGTGGCAGGAAAGATAGAAACGTGTTATATCTACTGGAGGGAAAGTTGTCACTTTTGCCAGTGGGCAGGCGGAGATGGCTATGACTGTCTTCTCTTTCAACGCACAAACTTCCCACATTACGAATCCATACCTGCAGCAGTGGCAGGAAAGATAGAAACGTGTTATATCTACTGGAGGGAAAGTTGTCACTTTTGCCAGTGGGCAGGCGGAGATGGCTATGACTGTCTTCTCTTTCAACGCACAAACTTCCCACATTACGAATCCATACCTGCAGCAGTGGCAGGAAAGATAGAAACGTGTTATATCTACTGGAGGGAAAGTTGTCACTTTTGCCAGTGGGCAGGCGGAGATGGCTATGACTGTCTTCTCTTTCAACGCACAAACTTCCCACATTACGAATCCATACCTGCAGCAGTGGCAGGAAAGATAGAAACGTGTTATATCTACTGGAGGGAAAGTTGTCACTTTTGCCAGTGGGCAGGCGGAGATGGCTATGACTGTCTTCTCTTTCAACGCACAAACTTCCCACATTACGAATCCATACCTGCAGCAGTGGCAGGAAAGATAGAAACGTGTTATATCTACTGGAGGGAAAGTTGTCACTTTTGCCAGTGGGCAGGCGGAGATGGCTATGACTGTCTTCTCTTTCAACGCACAAACTTCCCACATTACGAATCCATACCTGCAGCAGTGGCAGGAAAGATAGAAACGTGTTATATCTACTGGAGGGAAAGTTGTCACTTTTGCCAGTGGGCAGGCGGAGATGGCTATGACTGTCTTCTCTTTCAACGCACAAACTTCCCACATTACGAATCCATACCTGCAGCAGTGGCAGGAAAGATAGAAACGTGTTATTTATATCTACTGGAGGGAAAGTTGTCACTTTTGCATTTCCATCTGCCAAAGCACTCGGATGGGACCATTTAAGTGCGGTTACATCGGCTGGTTTGAAAAGGTGTAGAGGGTGGGTGAGAACTGCTTGCTCTTCGTGCTGTGAATCTACTGGAGGGAAAGTTGTCACTTTTGCATTTCCATCTGCCAAAGCACTCGGATGGGACCATTTAAGTGCGGTCACATCGGCTGGTTTGAAAAGGTGTAGAGGGTGGGTGAGAACTGCTTGCTCTTCGTGCTGTGACACACCTTGTGTTCCCTTCAAGGACTCCAGAGTCAGTACCCTCAGGCGCCAGCCACTCAGCGGAGAACACGAGCTTACCTGCGGCTGTGCCCCTAAAATCTGATTCTGAATTTTCAACTGCTTCAACAGCTAAACAGTACTATTTGAAACAATCAAGATACCTTCCAGGTTAGTAGAGAATTTAAAATGTTTACTGCCAACTAGGATATAGATAGGTCAGACTCAAGTGTCTTGGAATCTCTGAAGAAAGGGCACTAATGAAATAAAAAGTACAATCACAGAGCTCCTTGATGGCTCAGCCTGTCACCAAGGACTTTTCTGGAACTCCTGCCTCTGTCAGTAGTGGAAGTCCGCTCAAGAAATGCATAGCAGCCAAACATCAAGACGGTGAATATGCCTCCCCCAACACCACCCTCCCCCGCAAGCTTTGCATTCAGTAAATGCTAGATTTATTAAAGCAATTCTGTACCCCCATTACAACATTTTATAAAGTGCAGGTTTTTAAGACTGTTTCCATAGTGACGTGTGTTTTAAAAGCTCATTCTGAGGCTGGGTAGAGCATGCTAGGGGCTCAAGAGAGGCAAGGAGACTGGTCAGGAGGCCACTGCGTATGTCCAGATGGAGAGGCCAATGGCTCGTTCCAGAGTGTACGAAGCAGAGGTGGGAGTGGGTAAAATCCAGTTGTATCGTGGTAGTGGAACTGATAGGACTTGCTGATAGTTTAGCATGGCCGATGGTAAAGCAAGCAATTAGTGTCAGCTTCTGAGTTTTTGACTTGGCAACTGGGTGGATGGTGGTGACTTTAACTGAGGAAAGGAGGATTATGAGAGAAAAGGAGTGTGGGGTAGTGGGGTAGAGCACTGAGAGCTGAGTTGGGGATGCCTATTAAACATGAGCTGATCTATCTAATGGACAACTGGGAATATGAATCTGGAGCTTGGGAGAAAGATCTAGACAGACGGTGGGCAGTTTGCAATGTGCCCACAAATAGCATATTCTCCTTCAGATCCAATTAAAAAGAAAAATTTTAATTCAATTTAATCTAAAAGGGAATCAATTTTTAAGTCACCATATATCTATCTATACAGATATATTTTCAGTCCAGTGAAGGGAAGAGATGATCTTTTTCTTTTGTGTTTTCGTGGGCATGGTCATTCATCGCTTTCTAAATGCAGTGAGCAGGCCACCACCGGGTTCATCTGAGGAAGACTGGCTAAGTCTCAGCTAAGTCTCCTGAAGTAAAGCCTTTGTCTTCCTATCCCAGAAGCTGGTTTGGGAAGGAGGGGCAAGGCAGATGAGAGAAAAGGATGAGACTGGGTTGTTAGGAAGAGACTGATATATAACACATTTTTCTGTGTATCTTTTAGGCGACGATGTGAGTTTTGGTTCTAGGCATCCAACTGAGACCTACCCACTCCTGTTGTCACTAACTGGGGAAAGAAAAAAAATGAAACTGAGGAAAGGGTTAGAAATAAATGGGATAGAGAACAGAAGTCATAGTGGCTATATAGGTTTAGCCACAGATGGTTGGGTAAGTTGAAATAAACTTATGGAAAACAAATCAAGGCTTTAGGACTGCACTTCTGTGCTGATTAGTGAAGAGGAAGAGACTGATGTCTGTACGTGACGTTGGAGAGATTGGCATGAAATTATCAAGGGCAGAGCAAAAGCTTTATAACCCTGAGTATTCAGAGATCTAAGTAGGTTAAATAACATTTGTTTTGTTGTAAGCAGATTCTTTAGGCTCTGTGGCACCAGGGTGAGACATGGGAAAGCAGCCCTGAAAAACCCTGGCTCATAAAATTTTAAAAATTGTGTCCATCTGGAAAGAGAAACAGAGGGAAAATATGTAAATGTATTTTATTAGTAGCATATACCAAATAAATTTACAAGTATCTTATTAAAATACTTAGAGAAAATAAAATACTTAGATACTGGCTCTTGTGAGCAAGGGTAGATTAGAAAATTCATTATACAATAAAATTTTTATTAATGTAAGATGCAAACATGACTTTTGTTAGTCTTTTTTGGTCACTTAATTCGTCATATTTTGAGTTTTTGGAAATCTGTTCTTGACCTTAAAATCCCTATTCTTTCTCCTCATAAGGTCAAATTTTCGTCACTGTGGTCTCTCCTACGGTCTGTGACATTATGCTATGATTCTGGAAAGAGAAGAAAGTTTCTTAAGTTATTCTAACTTTTTGGTCAAGGAGATTTTCATACCGTTACACATACAGGATGAGAAGTTTGCCCACACTTTTCTTTACAGTCAGACTGTAAAAACAGCAGCCCTCATTCGGGCTGTTTTATCCTAGTTTGCTGTGAAGTTGCTTCCTAGTTGCTTAGAAATGGAGCCAGACCAGAGTGGCCTGCGGGGGGCGCTGCAGCAGCGCTCAGGAGCAGGGCTGCATGTGGATGGGAATGAGGGCTTAGAGAGGGACAGGAGGGACAGCAGGGAGGGGCTGAAGTCCTTAGGAGCGTGAGAGGTGTGGGAATTAAGACCATAAGCATTGAGGGTCACGTCTGAGAGGAGCAAAAATAACCTGTGCCGTGATCTCTAGGTACAAGTGGGTTTGTAAATTTTGGTGTTGAAACCATGAAAGAATTCGAATCTGACTGCAAAAGCAGGAACATAGGAAAGTTTCCAAAACATAGATTCATGGGAGATTCTTTTCCATGTTTTAAAAAAATCAAGTACATTTCATTCACTGAAATTTAGCAAATCAGTATTTTGTCTCACTTATCAAAGTGAGCCCTCTGGTGCTAGGAAAGACTACTATAAATTTTTGGCAAAGGATAAATGGATCCAAAGCACCCTGTTTTCATAGTTCTGCTTCCTCATGTGGTGTTCAGGAATACATTTCAGGGTTTCTGAGACCTGTCTGATTTTTTCCTTTTTAACTGGATAGATATAAAAAATTCTGCTAATTATTTGGGATCAGAAGCATGGCTGTAACTGAGACTTTAAAATACGCTCAAAATTGCAAAGAATTGTTTGAGATCTAAACTTGCTGTTACGTTATTGGCATTCTTTGTCTTGAAGACGGCCTCTCTAGAGCTGAATGAGATTTGAAACTAGAATTGAGCTCAGTTCAGTCACTTGGACAAACATTTATTGAGCACCTATCGCAAGCCAGCAACTGTATGGAGGATAGAAACCCAAATAAGAAGCAATCCTTGACCTTCATTTATGATTCATAGTTATTTTTATACTTGAATATGTTTGGGGGCCCTCTTTTATACCCTAAAGCCAAGTATAAAAGGTCTTATTAAGCATCAACCTTTAGGATTATGGGAGCTCTAGAAATGTACCATGTAATTTCAGGGCTGCATGACATTATACTACAAGGATTGGCAGATCTGTGACAATGGCCTTCAGGGAAAGACACACGAGTCATAGTTACTGATCGACTACTGACCGGCTATGTACTTGGAGCAAGACTTTGCGATTGTTTTCTGTCACTTACAATGAGACTGCAGTCTATCAGCTCATCCCATAAGCCTTAGGTACTTAATTGTCACAAGGCGGGTGCAAAGAAGACTTTGCGATTGTTTTCTGTCACTTACAATGAGACTGCAGTCTATCAGCTCATCCCATAAGCCTTAGGTACTTAATTGTTACAAGGCGGGTGCAAATAGAGTATGCAGTGGAAATGCTAAGGATCTCTCAGCGGTGCCCTCTCAAGACTTTGCGATTGTTTTCTGTCACTTACAATGAGACTGCAGTCTATCAGCTCATCCCATAAGCCTTAGGTACTTAATTGTCACAAGGCGGGTGCAAATAGAGTATGCAGTGGAAATGCTAAGGATCTCTCAGCGGTGCCCTCTGGTCTCACCCCTGCCTGAGAACTAGGACTGTAAGCGTGAATCGATGCCACCACAGCTGGCTGCAAGAGCAGCTCACTCCATAGCACTTTTGAAACCCTGGTTGGTGGATCCTTCTCTCGTCCCATTTATCACTTACCATCCTTCCTTCCACCCTGTTTATTCAATGTCATGTGTCATTTCTCTATTATCCTCTCCTATTGCATTTTAAATTTCTTAATGTGACACACAAAACCCTACGTGGCCTGACCCCTCCTCCACTCGCCAGCCTTACTGTGTGCCCCTCCCTGTTCTTGCTGTGTCCACGTTGAACGTCTCTGCGTTCTTTCCCTTCTCAGGTCCTTTGCCCAAGCCCGTCTCTCTCCCAGGAACTCATCTCCCCAACTCTAATCATGATTCACATGTCAGCTTAAAACTGCTTTTTAAAAAGAAAGACTAGCTGAGGTGCTTCTGTTATTTATTTACCCCTGCAGCACTAGATTGTACCCTGCTAATCATGTAGTTAATTAACTATAACTATAAATGTCTTCCTTCTCATTACAATCTAAGAGTTAAAAGGGTAGAAACTGCTCTATTTTGTTCATCACTTTTTCTCCAGTGCCACAGCCACTGCCTGGCACGTGGCAGGTGCTCAGTAAATGTTTGCAAACTGACTTTTTAACCTCCTTTGAGGCGAGGCATTATCATCACATTTGTCATTATAATATCAAATTACCTTAATTTCTGCTTCCTACCAACATTTGGTGTATGGAAGGTGCCCAATAAAAGCTTATCAACTAATAATTTAAAATTCTAGGATGTATCTATTTGCAACAAAATTGGAATCTACCTTAAAAAGACTTTGAAATAAGCCAATTGTCTTCAATAGTTTACTTTCAGAAAAACCTATTTATTTACTTTAAGAAAAATCTACTTAGGGGACCAGATTAACAAAATAATTTAAGTATTCAGCACCCATTCTTGGTTGAACTATATTTATGAAAACTGTGTTCACGTAAAGAGATTTTTAGTTTTTCCCCTACCTTGCACTTTCTTTTTGTGTAAAGATGTTTTTAATATGAGTAATTGCCACCTAGTGCTGCTGCTTTATTTTCATGTAATTGCCTACTATAGTTCTATTTGTAGGTGTTTTGTTAGAAGCCAAAATCCATAAGGAGTTATATCCTATAAGAAATGGAAATTATTTATCCGATGGAGTGTTTTACTAGAGAAGCAATGATGGGTAAATTTTGAGGTTCAGTATTTCTGGTTTCAAAACAAGGGATATTATTGTACATTCCATAAATGTGAAACCTTGCTAAGGAATGCAGCTTATGAAAAGCAAAAGCTCATTCTGCCTGGAAACAGGCCTAACTTCCTAAATTAATGGAGTCCTCAGTGATGACTTCTACACTAGTGAACGAAAACACTTCATGTATGACCTAAAGGCTTAGACTATCTGATGTCTTTAGCATCTCACAGGTTCAATCAAATTTAATTATTAGTAAAAAGAGGACAAGCTCAGGAAGTTTTCGAACAGGTTAAAACAATCCCTTTTGACCACTAGGACCAAAGCCCAAGGCTGACCTGACATTTCACAGATTTCAGAAAATCATAAATAATTTAAACTGTCCTCTTTTCCAAATATATTCCCAACACTTTCTTTACAGTTTGTAGGTGACAGATGTTTAGATTTTACTGCACCTCTTTACAAATAAATGTTACACAGGTGGCTCTTTACAAGTACGTTTCAGAACTTCTCGGGCCCCTGAGCTCTCGGTCACGTATCTGTCTTCCCTGTCACACCAAGTGTTCACTGAGGGCCTGGCCCAGAGTATACACTCAAAACAAGTGAGTGACATGGAAATACATGTTTGAAGCGTTACACAGGTGGCTCTTTACAAGTATGTTTCAGAACTTCTCGGGCCCCTGAGCTCTCGGTCACGTATCTGTCTTCCCTGTCACACCAAGTGTTCACCGAGGGCCTGGCCCAGAGTATACACTCAAAACAAGTGAGTGACATGGAAATACATGTTTGAAGAAAAATTTTTGTGCTACCTCAATTTTTACAAGACATTTAACAAGGATTTCAAATGTTTATTATTACTTGTATTACAGAAAATATTTTCTATTTATGAAGTACACTGTCAGTATTCCAGGCTGTTGTGCTGAGGGCTTAGGATGTTAGAATTCATCAAAAAGCAAGCATTTGCTATATTTTATCCTAAATTTATAGCCATTCTCCTGCCCATGGTATTTCTAGTCTTTGAATGCATTATATATTCTTCCTTCAAGTTTCTGATCACGCTCTAACCTGTGAAATGGCTGCTTTGTTCTCAGGTGTAAGTCCCAAGAACGTGTCCTCGATAGCCAGTGGAAAGGGTAGGGACCCGTACACGTGGGGTCATCGGTTGTATCCTAAGGCACTGGGACCCACTGGGGCAGACCTTGCTTTCACAAGGAGTAATGCAGGTAACACAAGAATACATTTAAAATATAAATATATGTTGTTTTCCTTCTACAGATGTTTACTTCTAAATATATCACAGCTGCCTTCTTCCAGCTGAGACATATGTACCTGGGGGTGGAGAGGGGTGCTACACAAAGGTTTTCCAACTAGTACTGTTTTAAGGGAATCATTTGCTACATCCTCAACTTCCATCTCGGTTCTTTTCTAAAATGGCTCTTCCTTAGCAAGGTGTCTCTAGTCTCTCACCTCACTAAAGAAAAGAAGACTTCTCATTGGTTACTACAGTGTATTTCCTGTTCCCCCCACATGTAAAAAATATCTGGGGTGCCAATCACAGAGATAATTTCATGTGTTGGTGTCCGTGTTGAGAAAGTACGTAACTGATGACGGGGGAACAAATCCTTTTTATAGTCCAGTGGTTTTCAGTTCTTAGCTGGCAGAAAATTGAAGAAGGGCCTAATTGAGTTGTTAGCTGCTGGGTGATTGAAAAGCACTTTTTATAAGATCAGTGTATTTTTTTTGGTGTGTGACTTTGAAGAGCATTCAAAGAATAGAGTGGCAAAGCTGTAAAAAAACATCTTTCATTCCCAACTATTTATTTGCATTAACAAGGTTTCTCAGCGGTGCTTCCATCTCTAAAACTGAAAAAAAGAAAAAAGAAATAGCAATGATGCTGAGTCCGAGTGATTCTAGCAGCAAATGTTCATTTGTTGATACATGGACTACTTGAAAAAAGTCCCCTCTTTCTCATTAAGAGATGCATTTCCAAAAAAACTTACTTTTCATGTTTTGGTGCTCAAAATTTATAATATTCAGCTTTTTTGATTAATTATATGCAGTGAATCATTGTAATTATAAGTAAATTAATTCAGAAAAAATTATTTTAATATACTTATGATTACAAGAAGTTTACTTTTTTTTTCAATTTATACACATTTTTGAGTGATCAATTTAAAGACCTTTAAGCCTAAAATTATATTTGGATAAAATTTGGAAACTGAGGTATGAGTGAAAATATAATTTTATAGGGAAAATGGATTAATGTGAAATTTTCAGGTGTTAAAAAGGAACTTGTTCATATATTTTTATATCAACGTTGGTGGGCACATAATCAGTATGGTATTTAGATTTCATTGGTTATATTTAAAGGAGAGATGTAATAGTTTTATTTTTTTTAAATGTCTATAATTACAATATGCCAGAAAAAACATCTTTTGCAACTGTTAAACTTATGATAAAAAATTTTAAGATATCAGCAAAGCGTGTGAAGAGGTACAGAGTTGTTTTTTTAAAGAACTGAGAAAGAGGGCTGGCCGGTTAGCACTGCTGGTTAGAATGGGGTGTTACAACACCAAGGTCAAGGGTTATCGCATCAAGGTCAGTGTGTGACACATCAGCACTGTTAAATGGATAAGTGCCATGCACTGAAGCACTGTAGTTGACTTCTGTTTTTTCTCAGTTAAAAATAATATTCACTGAACCAACCATTTATACAAATCCATTTAACTGGCAGCACCACAGCTTTGAGTCTCAGGGGTCTACAAATAGCATCAGATGAAAGCTATGACATCACATGGAACATTTTGCCATTTTAAGAGTTCTTTCTGGATCTTTTCATTAATCATCTAATCCATGTTTTCTCTGCTTTTCCTAAAACCTTCTCCTTACTGTTATTCTTTCTTTCCGTCTGCCTTCTCTTTAGAAGAAAGCATAATTAAACCAATTGAAAAACTATCATGCAATGAAAGTTTTCCTGAAAAATTAGAGGACCCACAAGGTAATTTCTGGGCATTATAGATGCGTACAACTTGTTCTCTGACTCTTTTGTTTAATTTTCTTTTCAACATTTACCCCTAATTCTGTCATAAAAGGCCAAGGAGACCTGCTTTTAGAAGTCAGATCAGGACTAGGAAAAAGAGAAGCTTCCATGTTAGCAGGAACATCTTCTCTCAGTGTTTGGATTCTAAGACTAATTCACTCTCAAAAAGGTCTACGCTTGTCTTCTTAAATTAATTATGGCAATTTATAGAAATTGAGTAAATAATTCTACTGAAAAGATTTAAAAGAATATTTTCTAATTCTATAATCAGTATTTATTGCTGGGATTTTATTTTATTTTATTTTTTACTTCTGAAATTCATTTCTTAAGCATTAACAATCATTTAAAAAGAAAAAGTTAACCGGGTTAAGAGAGATGGTGGAGTTCCTCAGGGTTTGGTGTCACTGGTTTTTTTTTTTTTTTTTTTTTTTTTTTTTTTTTTTTTTTGTCTTTTTTCGTGTCCGGCAACGGATCGCAACCCTCAGTGTCGCGCCCGTACTGGACCGGGACGGGCAACGGGATCGCAACCCTCGGTGTTGTGCCCGCACTTCGCTCAGCCAGTGAGCAGGAACCGGTCTGTGTGTGGGATCCGAACCCTCAGCGGGAGCGCTGCTGCGCTCCCAAGCGGCGCACTATAGCAGTGCGCCACCGGGCTGGCCCCAAAAGTAAGCGCACTGGTGTCACTGGTTTTAACAGTGCTAACCACTGGCTTCAACCCAAAGTTATGTGCAGCTCACAGGTACTTCAGATATAAGCCAAAATAATTTAAGAAGACTTAATTTTCTACTCATTTTTTTCATAGTGATCTTTTTCTCCAGTAAGAGCAGCCTGGTGTGGGCTGCTCAATGCATGGCTTTTAGAGCCTGCTGTATCCCTCTTTTGTCACTCACTGGCTCTTGTTGTTTTGTACACGTTATTTAAGCCAGTTTCCCTGTCCGTCAAATGGAGGGAATACCATTTATTTAGGGATTATCACATAACCACGTCCAGTTTTTCTCAATGAAACAGGAAGCATTTAGCATTTGCTCTGAGGATGAGGATGAGAGCAAGAGGTTCGTTCTGAAGCTGCCACTACCTGGAACTTCCTTCCAAAACGTCTTTGGAAGGAAAGGGCTGACCACAGAATGAGTGCCTGAAAGGGGCGGAAGGTCAGATTAGGCAGCTGGATTTATGCAGAACTCATTAAGGTTAGAAACTGCACAGACCGGTGACATGTGCTTACTGTATAAACCCTCAGGGTCTGATAATACTGCTGTTTGACATTTGTCAACTCAAGATTAAATGCTTGTTGACAACATGCTGTGCCTGGCCCTGTGAGAGACACGGGGACAATGGCTCAGCATCCAGACATGTGAACAAATGACACTATGGAAAACACACTCAGTGGAGCTGCCGACTGAACGCTAGAAACCACCACTGGTCGGAGCCTGGTTTGCCTTCTGGCCGACACTGTCTCCTCTCCTGCACAGCCAGGCTCGCCTCACTGTCCTTTGTCCTCAGCCTGCCTCCTGCTCCGTCCTGACATCATGCCAGTGGCAGTCCCCACGGGAGGCGCTGAGCTCATCGGGCCTCTCTGCCCATTCTCCTGGCCTTGTTCCCTCACACTCTGTTCTCGGATTTCCATAGCCCGCTCTTCCACCACCCACCTGTCTGTCCACTCTGTCCTCCGCAGGGTCCTTTTCTTTCCTTTCCCCAAATGCTGGTGTTCCCTGGGGGTCTCAGCTGGCTCCACCAAGCCCGCAGCCGGATCACCATCATGCCCTGACAATGACAAGTCCCCAAGCCCACCTACTCACACTCCACAACTTACATATCTCCTGGCCCCCAGGTCCTTCCCCCAAACCCGACTCTCCTCCTATACTGCTGTCCTGAGACAACCCACGCAGTCACCTAAGCACAAATGCAGGGGCTTCCATTCCCCTCTCTCCTTACCACCCCCACCCTGCAGACCGCTCAGTCCCCTTTCTCTCCAGCACCCTGTGACTGCCTCAGTTCACACCCTTATTCTCTCTCATTTGAAACGTAGCAGTGACTGCCTGACTGGTCCCCTGCCTTTAGACCTCCCTCTGCAGCATCCCTGTGCTGTCCCCAGATTGATCATTCACTCATAGTGAAGATGATGGTGGTGACGAGGGCCATGACAGTGATGCTGAGAGCTGACATTTACTGAACCCCAGATTCTACGCTTAGTGCTTCTCCTACAGCTTATTCAGTCCCTACAACAACCTATGAGAATAGTCCATTTACAACAATTTTACAAAATGAAGAAAGGCATAGATAGCTCTTCAGAGATGGGGGCTTCATGGCAGGAAAAACAGCCCCATGTTAAGAACTGGCATCATAAAAAAGCCTGGTGTGTTCAGGGTGAACCGAACACACCTTGGCCTTGAGTTCAGATCCTAGTCCAGTCCCTCACTAACTGTGAGAACTTAGGCCGGTTGCTTTACATCTAAGAGCCACACAAGGTGGACAATCGTGTGCATCTAAGAGGGTCGTTATAGGGACTGAATAGGAATATCTGTAACAAATATAGCACAGTGCCTAGAACACAGTAGATGCTCAAAAAATAGTATTTAGAAGTAGTGGGGGTAGTATTCAAAGTTATTCTACAGCACTTTAACATATCACCTCTGACTATGAAACTTTATGATACATCACTAGGAAATCTTGGAAGCTATTCTACTTACAATCAGTCAGGATATATTCCTTCCTTTCTCAAAAAAGAAGTGGGGTCAGCTGGCCAGAGGATCCACTTAGCACCTCTCGGTGCAACAGCTTCAGGTAAGAACAATTTCAGATACAGTGTGAGAGATTTCCAAGCAGAAACCAGCTTTTTCCTTTTTAAGTTTATACAGTCACTTTATTAACACGGTTCTAATGGTTTTTGGCAAAGTGTTCTGTTTTTCTTCTAGAAGCGTGGTTTGAGGGTCTAATAATTATAAGACAAGCTACCTCTAATTAAGTGGTTACTCCCAACTAGACACAATGTAAAGTCTCAATGGGATTATGTTGTTTAATCCTCCTGACAATGTGATGATGTAGATCTCTCCTTTATGGAAGAGGACAGTGACATTAAGTAACTTACCTAAGTTCATGCACCTCATGGAGCAGGGATAGAAACTTGGTTTGTCTATTTCCAAAGCGTGTTCTGTGCTACACATGAGATGTGAGAAGGTGCATTTTTTCAGAGCTTTCTGCCCAGCACCTGGCACAGAGTGAAAGCTTAATAAATGTTGACACTCTCCTTACGTACAAGTTAACATGCAGTTTCTCTGTCGTTCCATTCTAGAGTATAGAAATTAACGGTGGTGGAACTTTCATCCCCCTCTTGTTTGCTGGGAAGGGTTATATTAGGTGCTGAAAGGGTTTATCCCTCCGCCCTCCAATACTATGGCTAGTTGGGGTCAGCTTGCTCCAGTGGCAGGTCATATCACAGCCACATACAGGTGTGCACTCTTGAAATTGAGGGCGATGATCCTGGACTTGAGCCCACCAGATTTTATGACGAATGTCCTCTGAATCATTTTAATCTAAAATAGACATTCTTATTGAAGCACCCAAGATAAACATTCAGGCAGATAATCAGAAGTATGGTAAGATACCTAGTTGTAATTTAATTGAAAAGCTGACTCCAAAACCATTCTCACAGTCTATTCTAACCAGAATCTTCATTAAAACTCCTGCTTGGAGTTGTGAGTCCTCATGCAATTGGAGCTTAAAATGTAAAAAAAAAAGCACTGGATGACTTTAATTTTTTATTTCTTACCACAGTGGAACTGCTTAAAGTAAATAATACTGTTACCTTATCTGTGGAAAGGGTTGCTTCATTATCTCTGCTGAAAATAAATATATAAGTAAGCATTTTATATACAGCAATGATTTTTATAAAGCCTCAGATATTTTAAGCCAGCCTTAAAATGAGTCATTCACTATGACTTAGAAGCAAATTTTAGTATAAAAGCAGAAAGTCATAATGTTTCAAATTGTTTTGTTATCTGGATACCTGCTCTTAGAAATTGAGAGTGGGTCTTCTTAAAAATATTTTTGTAGGCTATCAAAGGCCTTTATATATGAATTATTCTGTCAGATTAGCATGCATATTCCTGTTTTCTTTTTTTTAAGTAAACGCTCTGTCGTAACTTTTCATCTCTTCATTTGCTCTGCTTATCAGATTTCCCTATAGATGGTGATAGGAAGAAAGGTTAAAAAAAAAAAAAGTAAATATTAATTACTCTCGAGTAGTCAGTGCAAATCCTTAGGAAAACACTGTTCTGTAAGAGATGTGTCTTCCAGTCCTCCCACTTGGGTGACAGTTTCCCACAAGAAAATAAAACCAGGTCGTTACCGTATTTACTCAACTATTTCCCCTCCTCTCATAGTCTCCTCTACTCTTTCTTCCTCACCCTCATGTTTGGAGAATAAGCATATTAATTTTTTCTCCCATCCTCATGTAATCACTCCTCCCTAACTTCCTAATAACTCCTCTTCCCCGGCTTTTAAAGTAACAAGGAGGGCTTGGAGAAGTGACGTCTTTCACATACAGACGCCCGTCAGGAGCGTGGCCCTGTTCTAAGCACTCTACGGCATTAGCTCACTTCGTCCTCCCTGTAGCTCTAATACGGAAGGCACTATTAGGATCTCCATCTATGGCAAGTTTTATATCTTGCTAAAAGTTATGTCATAGTGGCATCAATTAAATCTGTAACTAGAGGCAAATTCCACTACCACACATTTTCTACAAGAAGTTAAATGCCCTTGATAGGACAAATGCAGTTTTTAAAATACATGCACAGCAAGCATTACAGGGCTGACTGCTCTGCTCTTGGGGGTCTGACTAAGGTACAAAAGCATTTCTTGCCCTGCCAGGAGGTCTGGGTTCCTTTATCAGCTACTTGGTTCTTCATTCACCAAGGGTGCTTGAGTCTTAAAACCCTGTTATTCCTCAGAAAGGAATCCTAAATCTCAACACTACCACCTTCATGGGAAAATGATTCCCTCTTCAAAGAGGTTTTAAAAATATTGTCTTGAACACAGTTTCATTTAAATGCATTTAGGACTTGACTTAGGTTATGTCATGATCTGGAAAAAAGCTTCTGTTTTTGTTACTCCCTAGACCTCTCACTCTTTACTCCAAGAGTCTCACCCATGAGCTTAAGACTGTTGCCTCCCCCTTGTCTGAATCCCCCAGGCTTATGGCATCCCCCTACCCACTTCACTCCATCCCACACTGCTCTCTCCTCTGACCGTGTTACCATTTTGACCTTGGCCCTCATGTGTGAGCTGGCTAATTTAACAGACCGATGCTTGTTTATTATAGTCTAATGACATGAGATGACCTGTCAAACCACCGAGGGGAGAGTTCTTGGTTTCCCTGCCCTGACCAGACTGCACAGCAGTGGGCGACTGTCTTCCCCAGGTGTTTTGCACTTAATGCCATGTCCGCTCCCAAGCTGCAGTTAGCAGCCAGCAGGACCACGTGCTTGCGTAATTTCCTCCTACACTGCCAGCTTTACAGGGAAGGTGTAACAAAAATGAGGAAACCATGCCTGTAAATATGGTATAGATAGTGTTAGGGTACAAAATGGTCACTCATTTCAACTCAGCTTTCATGCTTGGATTAAACTCTACTACACAGTGTGAAAAGATTTTAAATCCCAATAGGAAAATGGAACATTCCTCCTCAATTAGAACACCTGGGATACCTAGTTCTCAATTAGAAATGGGGTTGAGGGGTGAGGGAGGGACTGAAGATGATAGTTTTCTGTAAAAGGATTTAGTTTGTCATTTGAGATGTTTAAGCGTTTTTAGCTTATAAGTTGTTCCGATAACAAATATTTAACATATTTTTAAATTTTCACTATTTTTTAAGCAGTCAAATGTATGAATAAACCATTCCTAGGAAGTTACCATTTAAGTGGGTTGTGTTAATTGCCCATAATTTTCCCAGTAAAGAATGAAGTTTCTTGATTCTGAAAACTTGCATTTTTATTTTTAAGAAGAAAGCTGGTACAGGACCCCATATGTGTAGCTCTGTGAAGCCAGTTTTGTAAGATTCAATTTTGAATACATTTTCTATAGTGATACTGTATTTGAATATTATTTACATGTAACCCTGCTGTGTGATATTACAAAGTCACTAGCACTGAGGGTGTTACCCATTGAATTTGAACCAAGAATTTATCTTGGTCCCCTTACTTGGTATTGCCTATCTGAATGTGAAGTACTGGAAACATCAGCAGTAAGAATAGACACCAGAAATACTGGCTCATAAGCTACTGAAAATACTAACTAGTGTAAACATAATACTACACTAGAATTTGGGGCTTTAAAATTTAAAAAGACCTCAGAGACCAATGAATCGATCTTTTAAAAGATAAGTTCAAGTTTTCCCCATAAAATAAGAGGCTGAATTGCTTTATTTTGAATTTGATAATCAAATGAATAAAATTCTCATTTCTGATTCTGATTTTTTTCAGAATATACCTGGAAAACAAAAACTGGTCGGGGGCAGTTTTCTACTTACAATCCTACAGCAAAAAATCTAAATATCATGAACCGCACACAGCCAGTTCCCTCAGTGCATGGCAGGACAGACTGGGTGGCTAAGTACGGAGGCCACCGGTAAGAGTCTGGTGTGAATCCCCACAGCATTGCTCTGCAGAGTATGTGCAAGTCCCGACCCTGGAAAGTGTCTACAGATGTCTGTTTCTACTGAGCTCTGGAAGAAATATGCAATAGTGGGTACTTTGAAGAGTAAAAATCATCTTCTATTTTATTTGTTTTCTAGAAATGAAATGCATTTTCTTAGCATCATTGCCCACAGTGCTCATATACGGGTAGGACAAAGTATTGAATAAACTATTTGCCAAAGTATCAAGTATTGGATCTATAAATTAATAGATAGTAAGTACAATATAAGATTTTTTAAAAACAAATGCCTCCAAGGGCTGGCCCGTGGCTCACTCGGGAGAGTGTGGTGCTGATAACACCAAGGCCGCAGGTTCGGATCCCTATATAGGGATGGCCGGTTAGCCCACTTGGGAGAGCGTGGTGCTGACAACACTAAGTCAAGGGTTAAGATCCCCTTACTGGTCATCTTAAAAAATAATAATAATAATGCCTCCAGAAAGTGTTTAGAATGTTTTTGTTTTCACTTGTATATTTGCCTAAACTATTTAATATATCTTCACTTTGTAGTGCTTGGCCTGAAACATTTCTGTTTTTTTTTTTTTTCCTTTTTGTCTTTTTTCATGACCGGCAACGGATCGCAACCCTCAGTGTCGCGCCCGTACCGGACCGGGACCGGCAACAGGATCGCAACCCTCGGTGTTGCTCCCACACCTCGCTCAGCCAGTGAGCGGCCGGTCTGTATGTGGGATCCGAACCCTCGGCGGGAGCGCCGCTGTGCTTCCCAAGCGGCGCACTGTAGGAGTGCGCCACCGGGCCGGCCCTGAAACATTTCTGTTTTGCTTCGCTTTTTCATAGCGACTAGGCAGACCTCTGTGGGCTGTCAGGTGTGTTTCTTATTTGACTGAGGCGCTGCTCTGCCACCTGGGCAATAGTGGGAAGATTGCAATTATCATTTGGTTTTTCTACTTTGAAACTATGGGAGCAATGGTAACTCCAATCTTGAGCAGGATGCCTTTCTTAGAAATAAATTTTATCTTTAACATAGATATCAATATTATGCCACCTGATTTTTTTTGGAGAGTGTTGTTTGCTCTTGACTGATAAAACTGCCTGAATTCGTGGTGACCATCAAGCCCAATGGCTTGAGGACTTCCATATTAACCAAGTCAAGGTTCTCTTGTCTTCACATCATTAAGAAACTTTGTGAAACTGTGTTTGATGTTTGTTCATGGAACTTGCAGAATACATTGTTTCTGTGTTACCAGACAAAAAGGTGAAGTGTGCCAGCTGGTCCCCCAGAGCAGAACTTGCTGCTGCAGATCACTGACTTGGCTCTGGCCCCCGATTTGCTCTACAGAGCAGGTGTGTTCAGTTGCTATGGCAGTGGTTTCACTTTGCACATACTGTTTTTCTTAGCTTTAGTTCTAAACTGGTATTTAAAATAGACATTTTGAACTTAGGACTACAATATTTAAACCTGCCACTTTATGGGCTGGACATTAGTATTGTATATTCTTTTTAAAGAATAATAATGTTATCAACTGCTGATATTTTTATGTATTTTATGACTTTGTAACAAATGCTAATGTAATTGGTATCTTGTGGGCATTAGCCAAAGGCACATTAAAAAACAATATGGTATTTTTCTATAGAAGATTCAGCTGTTCAGATTTCAGAATCTGAAAAATGTTCAAATCTAAAGACTAATTTATCTTAATAATAATGGTTATGTGTATTTGTACAGTTTTAATTAATGTCTCAAAGCTAAAAAAAAAAAATTCCTTTGTGTTGCTGGGACACTTAAATTCTGAATGATATTAAAGTAAATATGGTTAACTAGTGAGTTTTCTTTACATTTTTAAACTCTATGCCCTGAAGCCTATTTTTTGTTGTTGTTTTAATTAGTAGACTTTTTTTTTTAGTAGTTTTAGGTTATAGAAATATTGATCATAAAACAGAGTTCCCATATACCCTCTCTTTTCCCCCTCCCCAATTTTCCCTATTATTAACAACTTCTATTAGTGTGGTACATTTGTTACAACTGATGAGCCAATACTAACACATTATTAACTGAAGTCCATCTTTTACATTGGAGTTCACCCTTTGTGTTGTACATTCTATGGGTTTTGAAAAAATGTATAATGACATGTATCTACCATTACAGTATCGTACAGAATAGTTTCACTGCCCTAAAAACACCCCGTACTCTACCCATTCATTTCTCCCTACGTCCCCCTGAACCTTTAACACTGATCTTATTACTGTCTCCATAGCTTTTCTTTTTCCAGAATGTCATATAGTTGGAATCATACGGTATGCAGCTTTTTTAGACTGGCTTCTTCTACCTAGTGATATGCATTTAAACTTCTTCCATGTCTTTTCTTGGCTTGATAGTTCATTTCTGTTTATTGCTGAATAATATCTCACTGTCTGGATGTACCTTTGTTTATCCATTCACCTACTGAAGGACATCTTGATTACCTCCACTTTGGGGCAATTTCGAATCAATCTACTATAAACATCTATGTGCATGTTTTTGTAGGGATATCAGTTTTCAACTCATTTGGGGAAATTCCAAGGACCATGACTGTTGGATCATATGGTAAGAGTGTTTAGTTTGGTAAGAAACTGCCACGCTGTCCTCCAAAGTGGCTGTATACCATTTCACATTCCCCCCGGCAATGAATGAGAGTTCCCATTGCTCCACATCTTCACCAGCATTTGGTGGTGTTAATGTTCTAGATTTTGGCCATTCTAATAGGAGTGTAGTGATATCTCATTGTTGTCTTAATTTGCAATTCCCTAATGACACATGATGGTGAGCATCTTTCCATATGTTTATTTGTCATCTGTATATTTTCTTTGGTGAGTTGTCCGTTCAGATCTTTTGCCCATTTTTTAATTGGGCGGTTCATTTTCTGGTTGTTGTTTTAATAGTTCCTTGTGTATTTTGGATAAGTCTTTTATCATATATGTCTTTTTGCAAATATTTTCTCTAAATCTGTGGCTTGTCTTTTTCATTCTCTTAACAGTATCTTTCACAGAGCAGAAGTTTTTAATTTTAGTGAAGTCCAACTTAATTTTTTCTTTCATGGACAGGGCTATTGATGTTGATATTCTCCTATGTTATCTTCTAGGAGTTTTATAGCTTTGTATTTTACACTTAGATCTGTGATACATTTTAAGTTAATGTTTGTGACAGGTGTAAGTTCTATCTTCATTTTTTGTTTCAGTTGTTCCAGCACCATTTGTTGAAAAAGACTATCCTTTCTCCATTGAATTGCACTTGCTCCTTTGTTAAAGATCAGCTGGTGATATTTAGTTGGGTCCATTTCTGGGCCCTCTATTCTGTTCCCCTAATCTATTTGTTTGTTCTTTCACTAACACTACACTATCTTGATTTCTGTAGCTTTATAGAAGTTTTGAAGTTGGGTAATGTCAGTCCAACTTTGTTTCTATCCTTCAATATTGTATTGACCTGTTATGGGTCTTTTGTCTCTCAATATAAATTCTAGAATCAGTTTGTCAGTATTCACACTAACTTACTGGGATTTGATTAGGATTACATTGAATCTAGATCAAGTTGGATAGAATTGACATCTTGACAATATTATGTCTTCCTATCTATGTACATAGAATCTCTCCATTTATTTAGATGTTCATTGACTTCTTTCATCAGTTTTGAAGTTTTCCTCATATACATCTTGTACATATTTTGTTAGACTTGTACCTAAGTGTGTGGGGTTTTGTTTGGTTTTGTTTGGTGCTAAGGGAAATGGTATTGTAATTTCAGATGTTCATTGCTGGTATATAAGAAAGCAATTGACTTTTGTATATTAACCTTATATCCTGATACCTGCTATAATTGCTTATTAATTCCAAGAGTTTCTTTGTTGATTCTTTGGGATTTTCTACAGATGGATCATGTCATCTGCAAGCAGAAACAGTCTTATTTTTTCTTCCTAGTCAGTATGTCTTTTATTTCCTTTCCTTATCTTATTGCATTAGTTAGGACTTCTAGTACAATGTTAAACAGGAGTGGTGAGAGCAAACATCCTTGCCTCATTTGTGATTTCAGTGGGGAAATATCTAATTTTTCCCCACTAAGTATGATGTTAACCATAGGGTTTTTGTAGATGTGCTTCATCAAATTGAGAGAATTGTTCTCTATTCCTAGTTTGTTAGGAATTTTTATTATGAATGGGTATAAGATTTTGTCAGATCCTTTTTCTGCATCTACTGATGTGATCATGTGATTTTTCTTCTTTAGTTTGTTGATGTGTGATAGGTTACATTAATTGATATTTGAACATTGAACCATCCCTGCATACCTAAGACAAATCACACTTAGTTACGGTGCATAAATTTTTTTATACATTGTCAGATTTGATATGCTAATATTTTATTGAGGATTTTTCATCTATGTTCATACACACACACACACACGCACTTCAAAAAGTTTGTGGAAAGATAGAATTATGTGTGTGTGTAGAGAGAATGCCTAATGTTAGCAATTTGTGAACTGGTGAAACTCGGTAAAGGGTATATAGGTGCTCATGAATATTATTGAGACTTTTCTGTAGATTTGAAAATTTTCAAAATAAAAAGCTAAAACAAACCATAAATATATAAAGCAAAGTTTTATCATAAATACAAGAAAAAATTGATATAACCATGATCAAATTGGGACATTTTTCTCAGAAAACAGAACTAGAGGCCTAAAAGAAGTAAATGAATGCGTGAATAACACAATAAAGTTAATCAAATGTACAGCATATAGAACTTTGACTGATAAGGAAAATCTTTGCATTCTTTTCAAATGCATGTAACATTCACAAAAATTTGACCCTATATTAAGCCTCAAAGAAAATGTCAATATTCAAATGTAGAAATATGTAAGCCACATTTTCTTTCCACAGTGTAAGAAAACTAGAATATAACAATAAAATCTATCCACTTAAAAAATATTAAAAAATTGTTCTAGATGACATTTAG